AACAAATTAAGAAAATACAGGAAGTTTTCAGATTTTTGAAAATTTCCCCTTGTTGGGACTTAGGCTTTCTTTTACTTTATGTTATTGTATTTTAAAATTTCTATTAAGAAAAATTTGAGTACCCTAGTGGTGTAAGAAAATTGAATAAGAATTCCATAAGAGGCCCACAGTTGATAACAGGTGAGAACAATCTCTCGTCTAGGAATTGTTGCCCCGTCCTGCTGGCAGAGGCTCTGTTTGGAATATCTGGCTAGCATTCCCTTTTCTACACACCCTTAAGCTGTAGGGGTCATGAGGCAGTTCCAGTCCTAGACTAGACAGATAAGTGAAGACCCCTACCTCTAGGCAATGGGCAGAAGATGGTTGAATAATATCCAACTATAGCTTGACATTGTATTTTATGGCACATAAAAGAAAAGTGAAATTCTTTTGGCTTATCTCTTGTTATATTTACAGGTAGGATGTTCTTATATACTGCTCTAAATTGAAGGATTACTTGATTTAATTTTTAATAAGCTTTCTTCCCCTCTCATCTTGTGATAACCTGGTTTTTGCCAGCTAAAACTGACTATTTCTCAGACTAAGAGCTGTTCAGGCTCATGTTAGCTTCTTGAGCCAGACAGACTCCATCTCCGCTTCTTCATTTTAGTTATTTTCCCACCATTAAGTATATAACTGTAGTATGTAGCTGGGGCAGGCTGACACTGGGCACACCCAGGAATGCATTTGCAGTCACTGGAATTTTGGCCACTCTGCCCTGTGATCCCTGTGCTCGGTCCCTACCCTAGTGCTTCCTGTCATTTGACTGGACCACAGTATTTTCCATAGTCTGTATTTCTATTAAATAAAGATGATAATCCTTATTTGAAAAGCTGAAAGAAGTGATGGTTGCTTATTTCCCAGAAGAAACGTAGCTATTTGAAAACAGCTCATAGCCTATTACAAGGCACATAGAACACTTCCAATAAACAACTATCATTTGCATTCTTCATCCATCCCAGAACTAATCCAGGAATCCAGAAAGGCATTTATTTAATACATTCATATTCAGGGTCTATCAATGCCTTGAACACTACAGGAAACAGTAGGGATACAGCAGTAAATAAGCACAAGGGCTTGGTCTGACAGTGCTTGTGTTCTGCTGGGTAAACCAGTCTACAGATGAGGTGACCTTTCATTGCAAAAAGGACTATGAAGAAAATGAAGCAAACATGACAGATTCCTGTTTCCCAAGGAGAATGGAACATGTGAAACATAAGTGCCAGCAGTGGGAGGGGCATCATTAAGCAGGTGGTCAGGAACAGTCTCTAGAAGCCGCATGAAAATAATCAGCTGTGCAAAGATCTGCGATGAAAAGAGTTGAGAAGGAAGTGCAACTGCAAAGGCCCTGACTTCTATTTATAACACTTCCTAGACATATCTTAATTGTTCAGTTTCTTTACCTTTTTAAGCTTCAGCATTCTCATCTGTGACAGGCTAATAATATCTAACAGTGTTGCTCAGAAAATACAATAGCATGATATTTATTCACTCAAATATTTATTCACGAGAAACTTTATGCCAGGCATTGTTCCAGGCACCCGATGCACAGCAGTGAAAGCCTCGTCATGATAATCATGATACCTGGCATATAAGAAGCACTCAGTTATACACACCATCCCAGTTACTGTAATTACTTCTACCCTGTTTCATCCTAACATGGACCTGAAATGGTGGAAACCTGAGTGACCTACTGACTCAACGACCCTCTACTAGGAGACAGAGAGAATACACTAAATAAAGAAACTGGGAAATTCCTCGACCCTTAGCAAAAAACAACAACAACAAAAAAAAAACATTTCTGGTGGAAAGCGGCTGCAGCTAAGCAGACTGGATGGACATTTGTAAACCATGTGATAAAGAAGGAGGTCATAATGAGAGCTGGCATTGCCACAAAATGCAAGAAACCAAAGATCACTCAACTGGAGGTCTAGTACCGAGGTTATTTCTCCCTCTTCTGCACAGCTCTCTCTGAGAGAGAAACAGTCCCAATAAGGCAAGGCCATGAAAGAAAAATGAGCAGTGAGATAACAGGATTGAATCACAGTTCCCCACACACCACAGGGTGAAATCTCTCAGTGCCAGCTGGATGTAATCTACCTGATTCTGTAATCTACCCCTCCTCCTCACTTCAAGATTCTAGGAAAGCTACCTCCCTCCCTACAGGACTGAGGGACAAAGGGCACGCCACTGTTGCTGCCCAGTGCAGGCTGTCTACGAACCTACTTGCACTACACCCTTCAGGTGACAATCAGAACACACAAACTCAAAATATGAACTCAGAGCCGTGACTCTCATATGCTGTGTGGCACTTAAGAGTGGAGTATTCCCTGTGGGTGCCTAGGCGGCCACAAAAGCAGAGCCAGCAACAATACAGAAAACCATCTCTCATGACTTATACAGTACTTAGTAAATTTCAAATGAATAAAAAGAGAGCACAAGGAATCAACTCTTTGCAAAAATGACTGCACAGACCCAAAAGTCTTAAATTAGTACAGAAATGGGTGAGCGGTATCCTGAGAGAACGGATTGTGGATCAGAGACTGCTGTGTCGAGAGTCTCCCATGCTGAGATGTCATGTCAAAGCTACAGCTGCTGGCCTCACACAGCTGTTTCCAAGCCTGGGATGAGGGTGCTGCCCGCCTGGGCCCCGCCCCATGCCCCATGCCAGCTATCTTCTGAGACAAGCTCGGTGGGGTGCCCGACGGAAGCGGAAGTGAGTGAGTGCGGAAATGAGTGATTCCGGTCGGCCGGCATTTCCCAGAACCCTCCGCAGGGAGGTTTGAATTAGAGTCAAGGTCTGGTCATCAGTGTGCGCCCCCTCGAGTCTCGCTCACTACCCACCGAGGAGAGGCGGCCCTGCATGGTGTCCTGTGGTCAGGTTTTGGCACCACCACACCTTCCTTGTCTCTCAGCAAGAAACGTCTTTACTCACTGTTGACATATTTGTGTTAAAGAAAACCTTACAATATTCTCAAACAAATTCATGCTCCCATCACCACTGGATATGAAGTATTACTGGTTGTTTTCGTGTAAATTACGTTGAAAGGTTTATTTGAAAAGGTGTGCATATTCAATATAAAAATGGAAAAATTCTAACAACGAATTTAAAGCCTTCTGTAATCCTAACACACATGAACACACTAATATCTTGGCTTATTTTCTGATGTTTGTGAGTCTATATACATTTTTTTAAATCCCTTCTCCTCAATGGCTCATAATAGCTTGTAACCATCTGTTTTCAATCACAGATCATATATTGTAGATGGTTTGACTACGTAATGAGATCGTTTGTAACGGTTGCCTAGGATCACTTAGTTTTTTTTTTTTTTTTTTTTTTTTGGAATGAGAAAATAACTTTATTTGATTGTGGGGAGTGGGCTGACGTCCAGCCTCAGAACTTCTGGAACTGCTTCTTGGTGCCGGCGGCCTTGGTGACCTTGAGCACGCTGAAGCGCACAGTCTTGCTCAGGGGTCGGCACTCGCCCACCGTCACGATGTCACCAATCTGGATGTCCCTGAAGCAGGGGGACAGGTGTACGGACATGTTCTTGTGGCGCTTCTCGAAGCGGTTGTGCTTGCGGATGTAGTGCAGGTAGTCTCGGCGGATGACAATGGTCCTCTGCATCTTCATCTTTGTCACTGCGCCAGAGAGGATCCGCCCACGAATGGAGACGTTACCAGTGAAGGGGCATTTCTTGTCAATGTAGGTGCCCTCAATAGCCTCTTTGGGTGTCTTGAAGCCCAGAACGATGTTCTTGTAGTACCGCGGGAGCTTCTCCTTGCCAGTTTCTCCCAGCAGGACCCTCTTCTTGTTTTGAAAGATAGTCGGCTGCTTTTGGTAGGCACGCTCGGTCTGAATGTCCGCCATCTTCCCGACAGCCTGCAAAAAGGAAAGTGGCGGTGCCGTCCGGGTTTCCTTATCGACTGCAGGATCACTTAGTTTTTAGGTTCCATACTACAACCTTGTCTTTCAGTAAACTCTATTTCCAATTTCAGTGTCGCTAAACTAGAATTGACCATTTCCTTAATTTTATCCTATTTGACAGACTAAACATGCTGACTTAGTATTGACTGCATTTCCTTGATCATGGAAATGCTGAATAAGTGTTGATATGTCACTGGTGGTGAACTTTCTGTTCATATCCTTTGCCCACTTTCTTCATTCATTTATTTTAAATTCTGTCTACACTAATGGTATTGACTCTGTTATAAATGATGAATTATTTCCCAGGTTGAAATGTTATACAATAAAGAAGCTTAAAATAGAAACACGTTGATTTGCCCAAAATTTTCTGTCTGTTTATTCTGGATTCTGCATTTTCCTGTAGGAGCATAAAGACTTTCCTCACCCTGACTCCCAATAAACATATGTCTATATTCACTTCTAATGCTTTTGTTGTTTTGTTTTGTTTATTAAATGTTTCTTTCGTTTTTAAATACTGGGTTTCACCATGTTGGTCGGACTGGTCTTGAACTCCCGACCTCAGGTGATCTGCCCACCTTGGCCTCCAAAGTGCTTGGATTACTGGTGTGAGCCACCACGCCTGGCCTGCTTTTACTGTTTTTTAATCACTGTGAGTAGTATCAAAAGAAACTCCTGTTTTCTGATTCTTTCCCTATAAAATGAAATGCTATTTTAATCACTTACAACATTACTCTTTATAATTAGATATTTTCTGGAATACAGTTCTGTTCTCAAGATAAACATGTCTTTTTCTGTGCCATCAGGAGAGGTTTCAATTAGAGTGATAACACATTTCCTTATTTCTCCATTCTCATTATTGTTCAAAAATTGTATCTTAGAAGTTCCAGGACTCTCTCTTCCAAATAGACTAATTGTTTTGATACATTCTCAAAAACTGTCTGGGGCTCCACAGCATCCAAAGCCTCTGGGCATTTGGTCACACACCCACCCGTTTTTGCTTGAATATGAACAGTCCTAGTTTTCAGCCCAGTCTTTCACTTTTACAGGTCTCTGATTTTGCCGCTATTGCTCTTTTGTCTGTAAGGTTATCCTTTCCTTTGTTTTTGAACTATTGCTCAGAATTCATGACCCAACGTGAAATATCACTTTCTCCATGGAAAGGGGAAAATGTGCATTTTTGCATATTTCAATGATGTGTAGACTGCAAGATCCAATAAAAGGAATATCTATAAACAGTCAAAACACAAACAGAATTCATTGTAACCAAAAATATGAATCCTGAGAGCTTTTGGAGACCTCAATGTGAAATATACATACTAGATTATCAAAACAAAAAACACATGATGATTTCAACAGACATAAAAGAGCATTTGACAAAATCCAACATTATTCACGATAAGAATCTAGAAACTAAGAAGAGAAGGAAACGTCTCTAACCTGGCAAAGAACATCTACCAAAATCCCAGAGTAAACATTATGTTTCATGGCAAAATATGTAAATGCTTTCCACTTGACATCACAAACAAGACAAAGGGCCAGGTGCAGTGCCTCATGAATGTAATTTCACTAGTTGGGAGGATCGCTTGAGCTGAGGAGGATGAGACCAGCCTAGGCAACAGAGTGATAACCAATCTCTACAATAAACAAAAATTATGAAAAATCAGTTTAATAAAAAAACAAGACAAAGATGTCTACTCTTGCCATATTTATTCAAGATTTTACCAGAATTTCTAACCAGGAAAATTCATCAGCTTTAACCGGGGAATCATATGTAGCACAATCTCGTTGAGACCACCACCAACACAGTGAAAAAGAGAAAAAGGGTGAGTAAATGTCTGAAATGGAGGCAGGAACAGAGAGAATGAAAACCCCCGTGAATGGAAGAAAGGGAGCTAAGGGGAAATGGTCCGGTTTACAAATCACGGATCTGAAACGGGGGCTCACATCAACAGTGTCACTGCCAGGCCGGAGGGCCACGCTAGCCATTTCACCAGTGGTGTCGCCCGAGGGGACGCCGACATGCTGGAGGTTCTCACTGGCACGGGCACCAGCAGCCATGTTGGCAGGCAGGAGGGTCCCGCTGCACAGCTGAGGGGTGATGATAGGCTGGGTGGTGATGTCGGCCATTAGAGGGGTCTATTCGGCTGGCAAGAGTGTGACAGTAGCAAGTAGAGGGACAGGCCTGTGTGTGATAACGGGATGCGGGAGGGGCTCTGCTGCGGCTGGGTGCGGGACCCTCACCAGAAATGTGGAGAAATGGCCCGGTCACTGTGGCATGTTGGCTAGTAGACTGGCCAGGGCTTCGAACAGAAGGGCAATAATGAGGAGTAGCTGTCAGGCCCTGGGACTGTCTGAGTGTAAAAGGAGATGGGTTCGGGGTCACTGAGGGACACGTGGGAGCCATCGCTGTAGAAATACAAGTCACAGGGAAATAATCTGGTGAAGCCTCTGAGTGTCTAGGGCTTTCCTGGGTGCCTGGGGCTGACTGCTGCAGAAATCTGGGGATGGCTGGAGAGGAGCCACAGGCTGGGAGACACAGGGGAGGCCCTGAAGGCTGGGGATGAAGAGTTGAAAAAAATGGGGGAGGACTGCAGTAAGGTCTGAGAGCTTGGAGGTGACTCCTGGGTGTGGAGAGCTGATTCCAGTTGAAATCTGGAGATGGTTGGAGAGTAGCTGAGACAGACAGGAGGGTCTCTGAAGGCTGCAGTGAAGACATTAAAGAGCCTGGGGAGGAACTGAGAGAAACTGGTGAGTCTGGTGGTGTGTCCTGGGTGCCTGGAACTGACTCCCACTGAAATCTAGAAATGGCCGGAGAGCAGCTGAGAGAGTCACAAGAGTCCCTGAAGGCTGGGGGTGAAGACATCAGAGAGACTGGGGAGTAACTCAGTGAAATTGGTGAGCTTGGTGGTGAGTGCTGGGTGGCTGGAACTGACTCGAGCTGGCATCTAGAGATGGTTGGAGAGTAGCTGACAGAGGAGTCCCTGAGGGCTGGGGGTGAAGACATCAGAGTGACTGGGGAGTAATGCAGTGAAACTGGTGAGCGTGGTGGTGAGTCCTGAGTGCCTGGAACTGTCTCCAGCTGAAATCTAAAGAGGGTTGGAGTGCAGTTAGGAGAGACAGAAGCGTCCCTGTGGTCTGGGGAGAGAGAAGTGAGAGAGACTAGGGAGTAATTCAGGGAAACTGGTGAGTTTGGCGGTGAGCCCTGGGTGCCTGGAACTGACTCCAGCTGAAATTTAGAGACGGTTGGAGGACAGCTGCGAGAGACAGAAGAGTCCCTGTGGTCTGGGGATAGAGAAGTGAGAGAGACTGTGGAGTAACTCAGCGAAACTGGTGAGTTTGGTGGTGAGCCCTGGGTGCCTGGAACTGACTCCAGCTGAAATCTAGAGATGGCTGGAGGGTAACTAACTGAGACACAAGAGTGCCTGAGCACTGGGGGTGAAGACAAGATAGAGACTGGGGAGGATTTCGCTGAGGTCTGCAAGTTTGTAGGTGATTCTGGGGTGTGGGAGGCTGACTCTCGCTGAGATCTCGGTGTGGTTGGAGAGTAGCTGGAACAGACAGGAGAGTCCCTGAGGGCTGGGGGTGAGCTGCTGGGTGATGGCAGGAAGAACATATGGTATACTGTTGAACAGGGTGACTGTGGAGAATCTCCAGAGGAGGACACGGGAGAGCACAATGGCATAAGCGATTGTCCTGCTTGGTTAGGAAAGAGAAACGCAAAATTGTGATATTCTGCTGATGATGGATGTGAGCGTGCTGAAGTTCCAAGGGATGGTGAAGAGTACCTCCACGTCCCCGGTGAGGAGCTGCCCCTTGGGTCTGAGTTTCTGGCAGGGGAGAGGGAGAAGCTGGGCGAGGCAGGCATGGATCTGGAGGAGTCAGGGCTGGGGGGCCACTCATAATCTCCTGAGACCTGTGAGTTTCTGGGGGACTCCTGGGTGTGTGGGGCTGACTCCGGCAGAAACCTGGGGGTAGTTCGAGAGTGACTGAGAGACACAGAAGAGTCGCTGAGGGCAGGGGGTGAAGAGATGAAAGACATAGGGGAGGAGTGCAGTGAGGTTTGTGAGTTTGTAGGTAACTCCTGAGTCTGGGGGGCTGACTCCAGCTGAAATCTGGGGTGGTTAGGAGAGTAGCTGGGAGACACAGGAAAGTCCCTAAGGGCTAGGGGTGAGCTTCTGGGTGATGGCAGTAAGAATATGTGGTATATTTCTGATGAACATGGTGACTCTAAAGAATCGCCAGAGGAGGACACAGGAGAGCATAATGGCTTCATGGAGTGTCCATCAGGGTTAGGAAAGGGAGATGGGAGCCTCTGGGATTGTGGCGACGACGGAGGTGAGTGTGGTGAAACACTAGAGAATGGTGAAGAGCAGCTCCAGATTCCTGGTGAGGAGCTTCCTCTTAAGTCTGAGCTTCTGGGAGGGGAGAGGGAGAAGCTGTGTGAGGCTGGCATGGATCTTGAGGAGGCCAGGCTGGGGGACCGCTCATAGGAGGAGCCAGATGAGACCCCAGTGTTCTTTGATGCAGACATGATTAGGAAACCCGCAGCTCCCAGGGCCCCCTACCAATTTTCTGACCCTCCACAACGAAGGGTAGTGTGCGTGTGTGTGTGTATGTGTGTGCGCGCGCGCCCCTGCGCGTGCTGGCGCAAGAATGTGTGTGCGTGTATGCGTCTTTGTGTGGGTGTGTGTGTGCTATATGCTCCTTAAGAAAATGGGAATAAACAAACCAGTGTGACAGACAGAAAGAGGTTCACTTACGCAAGTGTTCCGTCCTGTCCTCTGAGTCCGCTTCCAGGTCAGAAGACGCTGTAAGCTCGAAGTTCACGCAGAGTCTGCAGAACGCTCCAGCCGCTGCTTGACTCTGCGAAGATATGAGCACAGGCCGGCCTGGGCGTCTTTAAGTAGCCTTAGGGCGTGGCCTGGCAGCGGAAAGGGCGGAGCTTCACTCCCCCTTTCTAGGAGTCTCACCCAAGTTTCCCAGGCTCCGCCTCTTAGAACCTGCTCTTCTGATTTGATGTCCCGTGAAACATTTGGGACAATCTAAGAACTTACAAGTTTCCTTGGCCAAATAGGTTATGAACTCAGCGCACTTTAACACTGAAAACCATCTAGTGCTGGGGTTCTCACATTGTGCTGTTGAGACAGCTGCATCCTTGCAACCCTCAAACCCGAGATCCACAGGTCTGTGTGGTAACAAGCCCTCCCCCGACCCTGATGCATGGCAGTTTCAGAAGGAGAACCTGTGTAAGTGAAAACACTTTTAGAAACAAGTGGAGATATGCATTGTATAAACTTTCTGCTCTGGAACCATCTGGAGACTTGGAGGCCAGGTCTCCAAGAGTGGTGCATTCACTGGATGAGAGTGGTGAGAAACATCAAGGCGCTGGCTCCAGATAATTAGATTATCTAATTAAGCTGTCAGTTATGCTAATCTGGTTTAGAATTCCGTTTGTGTAAATTCTGTTACTCAGACTGAGAGTGGCAATGCTCAGTCATGACAAATACTTCATTTTATGTAAACATTTACATCAAAATGGATCTTCTGTTCTACTCTCACTTGCCCTATTCAGGGTCAATAGCTTTCTGTTACCAGAGTTGATGTCTCTCAGGCCCAATGAAGACAGTGATGTTATCACAGGAATATTTTGTGGATCTCTGTATTGTAGAATAAATGAGTGCCATTTTGCCTCACTGGGCGGGAACAATTAGCTTTAAAACACAGGTTCATAGCTGAGGATGACGCAGCATATTTTGAAACTTCTTGATTCAAAATGCTATTTTTGAGGTCTTAATCTGGCAGAGGAGATGGTGGCATAATTACACATTAGCTCCTTTCTGTCAGTTGTTGACATGGAAGCCCCTTTTCAAGGATGTGGAAGGGGGAAGGGAAGGGGCTGTGACAGCAAAGGGCAGGGGTGGCCCAGCTGCTGATGAAGGAGTGATCAGATGACTGAAGAAGAACATAATCTTTTCCCAGACACTGGCACAACTCTTAAGGCTCATTATCTAGAAACTGAAGTGCAGGAGATCAACCTGAACTCAACCTGAATTCTAGAGTGTCCAGGATCAGGGAAAAAACATAATATTCCCACGCGGGGGTTGCTGTGATTTGACAACAGTCCTGAGAGGGGCAAATTCATGTTCTGCCCACTAAAGCGCAGGAGCCTCAACAGAGAAGCTGGTTGGGTGCATCTGAGGTGAACTACAGGTCACATAGTCATTGGCAATACAGCTCTTGTTGCTCTAGGAATGTGCTGTCCAACAGAAATAGAAATGCAAGCTCCAGATGAGATTTGAACATTTCTAGAACCATATGTTAAAGAGTACAAACACATGAAGTTAACCCTAATAGTTTTTTCTTCTTTTTGAGACGGAGTCTCGGTCTGTTGCCAGGCTGGAATGCAGTGGAGCAATCATGGCTCGCTGCAACCTCCGTCTCCCAGGTTCAAGCAATTCTCCTGCCACAGCCTCCTGAGTAGCTGGAATTACAAGCATGCTCCAGCATGCCCAGCTAAGTTCTGTACTTTTAGTAAAGACAGGGTTTCGCCTTGTTGGCCAGGTTGGTCTCGATGTCTTGACCTCGTGATCCGCCTGCCTTGGTCTTGTAAAGAGCTGGGATTACAGGCCTGAGCCACCTCACCCAGCCCCTTAATAACTTTTTATTTAAGTACCACATCCAATACATTATCATTTCCACATGAAATCATCATAAAATTTTACTAATAAGACAACTTACCTTTTTTGTTTATGTAGTAAGTCTTCAAAACACAATGTTTTACACTTACAGCCTATCTATCTCTATTTCGACTTATCATAGTGAAGTAGTCAGTACAAGTTGAAAATCCCTTGTCTCATATGCTTAGGAGTGGAAGTGTTTCCGATTTTGAAACGTTTTGATTTTTTGAGTATTTGCATAAACAGACTGAGATATCTTGGGTGTGGTAACCGGTTCTAAGCACAAAATTCATTTACGATTTTTTTAAGGGAGGTGGTTGTTTTGAGATGGAGTCTTGCTGTGTTGCCCAGGCTAAAGTGCAGTGGTATGATCCCAGTTCACTGCAACATCCGCCTTCCAGGATCAAGGGATTCTCCTGCCTCAGCCTCCTGAGTAGCAGGGATTACAGGTGTGTGCCACCACGCCCAACTAATTTTTGTATTTTTAGTAGAGATACGGTTTCACCATGTTGGTCAGGCTGGTCTCTAACTCCTGACTTCAGGTGATCCACCTACCTTGGCCTCCCAAAGTGCTGGGATGACAGGTGTGAGCCACCTCGCTCAGCCCATTTATGTTTTATATACAAAGATGTGCACATAGTGTGAAGATGTTTTTATACATTATTTAAAATCATCTTGTGCATAAAACAGTGTTTGTGTTGAGCACTGATGTGCTGAATTCTAGTCTTGTGTCCTCTTGTTAGTGCTCAGAAAATTTCAGATGTTGGTTCATTTCAGATCTCAGATTAGGGATGCTCCATCGGAGTCACATATAGTTACTGGCTACCATGTTGACCATGACACCCTAGGAGGTTAACCCTCATTATGTGGGTTGTTGAAGTCATCTTGTCCTACTAAATTCCTTCAACTTCAATGGTTCACCAGCTGTGCCCATTTGCGTTTGCAATTTTGAAGCTTGTATTGTAAGTTGAGCTCCTGCTATGCTAGATGGAGTTTAAAATTTTAGTTTCCTGCTAAGTAAACTTGTTTCTGCCTTGATCCTACACTTGTGGGTCACATGTAAAAAGAATCAAAGTAGATTCAAATTGAGAGTCCATGTGAACTACTAAATTCTGAAGCCTTTATTTCTAGAAACAGAGGAGATGAGTAAAAGGCGATGCTTAACATTTACTGGATATTACTCATTTATTCAACAAGCACCTTTAGGGCTCAATTTGTATAATATTTCATATATTTCTTTCACTGTTCCAAGAACTTAAGACATAGTAAATCATTTAGTCCCAAGGACAGTATAAAATAGAAAGTATAACACCATAGAATATTATGCAGCCATCAAAAATGATGACTTCGGGTCCTTTGTAGGGACATGGAGGAACCTTGAAACCATCATTCTCAGCAAACTGACACAAGAACAGAAAATCAAACACCGCATGTTCTCACTCATAGGCGTGTGTTGAACAGTGAGAACACATGGACACAGGGAGGGGAGCATCACACACTGGGGTCTGTTGGGGGGAAATAGGGGAGGGACAGAGGGGGGTGGGGAGTTGAGGAGAGATAGCATGGGGAGAAATGCCAGATATAGGTGAAGGGGAGGAAGGCAGCAAATTACGCTGTCGTGTGTGTACCTATGTAACAATCTTGCATGTTCTTCACATGTACCCCAAAACCTAAAATGCAATTAAAAGGAAAAAAAAATGGAAAGTATAATTATCCACACTTTTTTTGAGACGGAGTTTTTGCTCTTGTTGCCCAGGCTGGAGTGCAATGGCGCAATCTCGGCTCACCACAAACTCCGCCTCCTGGGTTCAAGCAATTCTCCTGTCTCAGCCTCCCGAGGAGCTGGGACTACAGGCATGTGCCACCATGCCCAGCTAATTTTTGTATTTTTAATAGAGATGGGGTTTCACCATGTTGACCAGGATGTTCTCAATCTCTTGACCTCGTCATCCACCCGCCTCGGCCTCCCAAGGTGCTGGGATTACAGGCATCCGCCACCGTGCCCGGCCTCCACATCTTAAAGATAAGGAAAACAAATGACAAAGAATGGAAATATTTTAGGAAGTGGTGGAGCCGAAATTTAAACAGGGGTTTCCTGGCTCCAGAGTCTGTCCTGGTAAGTGCCATGTCTCAGAGTCTTCCAAGTAACTGTCACTCTCAATCTTCCTACCAACATTGCAGGAGAGGCCTTGTCTCCCCATTGATGTTAAATCTTTATGAGGTTATTGGTATTAACTGTAAATAACATGACTGATATAAAATATTAGACATTACTGAAAAAATCCAATAAAACCATTCCCCCTCATCCATCATTTGGACCCCTTCTCTGTGGCAACTGCAGTTAACAGTTTCTCAATATGTTTTTTTTAGGAATTTTGAGGAATATACATACATATACACACACATACCATTCACCCTTAAAAGGGGACTGCAGTCAGGGAGCCAAGTGGTCTTGCCCAGGTTGACTCATGAGCCCAGTAGTTCGAGACCATCCTGGGCAACATGGCCTAAAATTTTAGCAATCTTCAAAGTGATGTGGGTTTTGGGGGATATATGCTAATGGGTTGACTGGTGGCTGGCAGCCCCTGGGTGCCTTCAGGATGAGGCTGGGGCTCCTCACAGGAAAGATTACACCAACACTAGAGGGGTGGGATTTTCAGCCCCATGCCCAGTTTCTGGGGAGGGCAGAGAGACAGAAGGTTGAACTGATCACCAATAGCCTAGGGATTCATCCATTAGGCCTATCAAATGAAGCCTCCATCGAACCCTAAAAGGACTGGGTTTACAGACAGACCTTCTGGATGTAACACTTGGGAAAGTGGTGCGCCCTTTCCCAAAACCTGGTCCTATGCATCTCTTCACCTGAATGCCCTGCTATTTCCTTCATAACAAACTGGTAAATATAAGAATTTCCCTGAGTCCTGTCAGCTGCTCTAGGCAGATTAATGGAATTCAAAACAAAACAAAACAAAACACACACACACACACATATACAAGAAAAACAAAATAGTGGTAGAAAACTGATTGACAGCCAGCCAGTCAGAAGCATGGGTAAAACAACCGGGGGCTTCC